GTTAAATCCCTAACCTCAATGTCAAGGGCTCAACACTCAACAAAAGACGACAAGAGAGGCAGAGAGCGATGGGCGAGGGGCCGAGAGTGACCGGCGAGGCGGCGGCGAGGCAGCCGCAGACGGCAGACGGCCGTCGATAGTCGAGAGAGGCAGAGACCAGAGAGAGAGCGTCAAGCGAGAGCGAGAGCGAGAGCGAGAGCGAGGAAGGATTTCGATTTCTGTTGCGACTTGCGAGAGCGAGAGACGAGAGCGAGAGCGAGGCAGCGAGCGACGATTAATGGAATGGACTAAGGTTAAGAAGGCTAACGGTAATTTTTTTTAAGGCCCAAATACAAACTGAACCTAGTATATTGTTTGGGCTTAAAAAAATTTGATGCCCTTAGGATTTTTGATGCCCTGGGCCGTCGCCCCTTTGGCCTAGGTACCAGGGCCGGCCCTGAAAACAATCAATGGGCTAAAGAACTCTCTATGTGTGTGAGAAAGAGATATGCGAGGAGATATTAATTGACCTACAACTTCCTCTAGAGTGAACACCTCCGGCTCCGCCACCCCCACCCCCAAACCTCCTCCACCAGGACTCCTACCACCAAATCCACTGCCTCTTGATGGTTGCATGATCAACTCACTGTTGTGGTCGAGAGGTCCAGTGAGTATGTATGATAACTAGGGTTTAAGAGTATTTTGACTAGACAATGGGTATGCATTAAACTGAAACTTAGGATAGATTCTTGCCTGAAAGGCTAAAATTCATTGATTTTTTTGTCCTTGAACTTCACTCCACAACTAATATTTCCAACTTCCTTTTGTTGTAGCTCTAATAAGAAATGCATAAGACCGAGGCTTTTTCGGGCTTGAGCCCAAGCCTTACAAGATTTTTTCAGTAAGCAAAAAAAAACCATGTTGTTTAGGTATGGGCTAGACCGGGACCGGGCTTTGAAGTTGAAAGAGGGCATGATTAGATTTTTCAAGTCTGATTTTTTTATCCAGACTTTAACCAATACCTTGAATTTTTTTGGCCTGATCAATCTTTAAGGTCGTGTCAATGCCAGGGACCGGGCTTTTTCATTTTGATGTTAACATTATCTGATTTTGCACTTCAACGATAATTAATCCAATTATATAATTCATATGTACCGAATGTTTGTGTTGAGTTATCTAATATCAAATATATTAAATAGATAAAATGCACATTTTAATATATTGTTGTTGCAAACCCAGATCTTGTTGGAAACCCTTTCTATTTTTTTTCCCCTTCTATAATTTGAAATTTTACGAGTTTAGCTATTAAAAACTTTACATTTTTGTGTTTGTCATATAATTATAAAGTGATGCCTTTTTCACCCACTTTGCACAGTTTTATGGCTTGGCTACCTAAATGACATAACTATAACAGGAGATGCATTATCTCAAATATTAGAATACAAATGTTTATCAAGTACATTTTTTTTATGAAATAACTGATTGATGGATTTTTTTATCAACTTGAATATCCAACCTGCTATGCAAGCCAATTGATCCCAGCCTGGAGTTACCATATTTGAACTTCTGTGGCCATAAAAGATTTTTATTTCTCATTGGATTCGAACATGAGACCTTCATGCACTTTTTGATTTTTTGAACCTAAACTTAAATCAATCGAACACCACTTTTGTGGTTTTGATGGATTTTTATTACAACCAACTGCCAACACATCAAATCTTAGGGTCATTGGCTCAGCATTAACTTTTAATTTTTTTTCTTATGCACTGTGAAGAAGCTTTAATCAGTTGTATCTTTATTTAATTGATACTCGGTAGTCATTTTTAGTTCTCTCTCACATAGCAAGCACTTTATATGTCTAATGTTATGTTTTCTAAAGTATTTTATATCTTTTTATCATTAGATATAAATTTGAAGTTGTAGTTTATTAAAAATCATAATTCACCTGCATTCATATATTGTAAATGATGTTTTGTCAACATTAGTGACACAAATATCACTGATACATTTAGAAAATGAAAACTTGTCTATTCCAGTTTTATAAATAATTAGATACATTTATATTGCGATGTATCACTGCATCAATATAATATGTTTATATATTTATATCTATCTATTTTACTAATGTAGAGTCAAACGCAAATTTATTTTGTTCCAACGGTTTACATAAACTAACGAGTAAGATTCTTATTTTTTATTTATTTAAAAGACATCCCTAAGATTTCATTTTTATAACAGACATGGTCCCTTTTAATAGCATCATCAATTAACGTGCCATTAGACAGTGAGGGGTAGTTCCGTCTATTATCCACTCCCCTCTCTCTCTCTCTCTCTACTTTTATTTTTAAAATATAATTTGGTCCATCCATCAAATTTCATTTTTATAACGGCTATGGTTTCTCCATTTAATCTAAAAAATATATATCATGGAAAAAAAATAACTATACAAACTCAAATCATATGGATACCAATCTAACCAAATAACTTGTTAATCTACTTGAGATATAAGATCATTCAAGTAATAATACAAGGAAAAAAAAACAATTTAAATATATTTTTAATAATATAATTTTTCTTATTTACCATTGTATTAATATTACGAAAAACTAGAACCGTATTCGTACAATGCAGTGAAATACATCTCGATTTTAATGTTTTGTTTTATTTTTTCTTGCTTTGTCTCAGTTGATGCTGTAATACGATTTTATGTAATTTTGAGAAAACGATAATGTTTTTATTTTTAAATAAAATATAATTGAGAAGATATCATAAAAATGATAAAAAAAATATCGGTATTAGTATCAAACTAACTATTTAATTTTTTTGTGTATATCTTTAATTTATTTTTGGTTTAATAATATAATTTTTTACTAAAGATAATAATTAAGTATTTTGTTAGAAGTCAATGATTATCCTAATTGTATTTTAGATTTTTTATATTTAAAATGAGATGTTTATCCTATATTTGATTATGTTTATATGCAGTTAGTTATACGAATTCAAAAATAAAACTTTAATAAGTTATACTTACGCACAATTTACTTGTAATCTTGAATTTTAAGTAATATCTATCAATAAGCAATACTTTATGCATGAAAAATGGTTTTTAAGAGTTTATTATCAAATGCTATAATATAGTATAGATATGATTTTCAAATCTGTAAGTGGTTTAATTAAATTTGATAAAAAAAAGTATATGATGAAAATAGTGTTTGTTTGAATCGATAATTTTATAGAACTATTTAGCGTTTTGAATACAAGTATATTTAAGCTTATCTTAGCCAAGCCCATGTTTGCAGGGCTCGAGGCTCGACTAGAAGCTTGAGTCGTTGGTTATCAAATAATAATATGAGGGGTATTTTATATTTATATATGGTAAAATAAAACAAATAAACTTACATATTTTTCTTATCTTTGATGAGGTTTGAACCTTTGAACTCCTAAGATGTCAAAGACCCATATACCGCTAGACTAAAAGCCTTTTAGTTATCAAAACCAAGATTTTTAAAAGCAAGATATCTAAAATATAAATCAGAACGCAAATACGTACCATTTAAATACTATTTGTCTTAATATTACTATAAGTTATTTAATAATAAATTTTGATAATCAAATGACCTGTTTTATTATTATCTGATTAAAATTAGTTATTTTGATTCATAATTTATTTATTAATAATTTACTATATACACAGGAAATAATAAATAATTTTCAAATGTATATTTAAGGTTGTTTATGTTCTATTTGGTTTGACAAAATATTTTTAAAATATAAATTTTATGGCACCCTTTTGAAATTAGAAAGTTTTAGATTTAAAATAAATTCGTAATTTTTGGTCTGTTTGATTTGTAATATTTGGAATGAAATTCAATTTCATTATTTATAAAAAATTTATGTAAACAAATTATAAAAAAATTAAATTATCTTTTTATTGATTAGTTATTATAAAACAAATGTTTTTAACATATTTTATTATTATAAATAAATCTTAGAAAGATTCTTCAAAATAATAAATATTCCATAAGATCTAAATCCTTTGTTTATGAGAATTTAATAAAATCCCGAGATTTTAAATCCAATGTCTAACAAAATATATTCGAATCTTATAAGTTCAATCCGCTACAAATATTAAGATATATATATATATATATATATATATATTTCTATATACTACCTTATAAACCAGATTTATCAAAAATCTTAAAAACAATTTTTAATGCACAAAGTACTATACATTTATGCACAAAGTTTTAAAAACAACTTACAATACATTAAGTACTACTACTTTATGCATTCAATCTTAAAAGCTTTTAATTTACAATTAAAATAACATATAGTGCAAGTTACCAATGCATATTATTGCTTTTTCTTTTCATGTTCCCAAGATACTTTTGACACATTTCACTCATGTCTTCACCTTCTCATACCTCTATGTCTTCTCCTCATTTTCCAAGGTGAGATTCAAACTGATATACACGATGAGTTATTAACAGTTGTCTCATTCATCTCTCATTCAATTGCTCTAGAACTCTCGGTCTCGTTCTCGATCTCTTGATTCTTTGATCTTGATGTAAATCGACCACATTTGTGAAGTCGTTTAAATATGTTGGATTTTAAATATATTGGATTTTAAAATGTCATACAATTTTTTTCATTGATAGACTGTAATTGGAACCATAACTCTTATTTATTCAAATTGTATTAATATATAAAGATTAAGTGTAACTTATATCATCGTTAAATCTTCTCTAATAAAACCAATGAAACTTCAAAATCATTAAAATTCACGGCTCCCGTCGTATTGTACGGGTCCACAACTAATATATATAATGAAAAGGAAAAAAGAAATGTCATAAAAAAAGCCATAAGAGCCTGATTGAGCAACGGTTACTTTTTTCAAACCCGCTCCAAACTCTTCTTCCTTTCTATTAAGGAGTCCCCCACTCTCCTTCACCCCTCACCTCTCTCTCTCTCTCTCCGCCGTCTCTTCTTGGGGACACAAAATCAGCTTCATTGATTCTACCATCAGAAACTTTCAAGATCATGGGATGCTTTTCAATTTGTTTCAGCACTTCCAAGCATCGGAAACTAAAGAAATCTGTTACCCCAACCACTTCATCTCCTTCTCTAAATCAGGTACATAATTGCATTCCACTCGTTTGTTATCATCTGTATTTATGGGTGAATGATTAATCTGTTTCAGGGAAATGAGAACAAGTGCGAGTCTATTCTGTTCACGGTACCCACCCAAGAATCAACAAATCTTGGTTCGCTAAAAACCCCCATTTCGGAATCAAGGTAATTTTATGAGTTTGATTTCTATATCTTTTCATAGATTTTTCTTTACGGTAAATGAAGCATGTGTATTTACAGAAATTGAGCTTTAAATTATGATAAATTTTATTGTAGTTTCAAGTTTGTGTGGTTCTCTCTTTGAAGCATTTTATCGAACAGTTTGCTTGCTTGTTTTCTTCTTCTTCTTATTGAACATCTAGGGATAATAGTGAAGATCAGCTGATCAATGAAAGTTGTGATAAGACTGTTACTATAGATATAGATGTTGACACCAATGCAGATATCTCAGTGGAAGAGGTTGAAATTCTCTCGGTGGAAAGCAAAGAAGGTAAGGAGAAAAATGTGAATGAGAGTGGGAGATTAGGATTTCTTGTGCAACTTGAGAATGAAAAAGAGAGGGACAAAGAAGAAGTGGGGAAATTGGGGGTTCTAGTGCAGATTGAGAATGAAAAGGAGAGAAAAAACGAAGAACATAAAGATTTAGGGGTTCATGTGGAAATTGAGAATGAGGAGAGAAAGAAGGAACCGAAAGAAGAAGATGAAGATTTTGGGGTTCATGCAGAAACTGAGGATGAAAAGAAGATAGAGAGGGAACTGAAAGGAGAAAATCAAAGTTCAGGAGTTGAAAATCGAGCCTTCTCTGATTCTAGTGTTTCAAGCTATATATCCTATCCACCGATGCATAGATACCATAACTGTGAGATCGATGAGGATGAAGATCATGTTATTGTTCAAGAGGATTCATCCGAATCCTTATTTTCTTTGGCAATTGATCCAAGGAGGCAATCAAAGTCTAGTCCAGTTGAAGTTGATGATAAAGAGGTCAATAGTCCACTGAAAACCAGTTGTTCACCGAAGCTGAATACAAAATCAATCAGGCCTTGTCCTAATAGGAGTGATCTCAATCCGAACATCGATTCTTTGTTGAACCCAATTGAGAATCTTTCTCAATGGAAAACATTGAAGGCGGAACCAACGCCTACCTTGGATCACCACCAAGAAAAAGAAAATATGTATTTAGAGCTAGAAGAAACCAATATCCCGTTAAGCAAAGAGCCTAGCTTTAAAGTTTCGGATCAGAAGGGGAAAGTGAAAGGCGATAATAGTGCAGTAAATACAAGCCTTTCGAGTTGGTTGATTGGACCAGATAAGACACCCACAATAAGCAAGGGAGATAGTCAATTTTCTACAGGGAATTCTTTTTCATATTCTGACGAGGCAACTTCTTGGAAGAGCTTTGAAGATAGACCCATTTTAGGAGCTTGGACCATTGATGAAGTGAGACAGGTATCTGCAAGATCATCTCCAAGAAAGTCACCATGCCGCAACCCTGATGAGATGCCGATCATAGGAACTGTGGGGAGTTATTGGAGTCATACTGGACAGGCTGCAGATTCTTCAAACATAGGAAAATCCAGAAGAAACAGAGAGGTAAGATACAGTTAACTAGTTTAGCTTTAAATCTTTTGACATTAAGTGAAAGTTTTCTGATGAATTGCATCATCTTTTGTAGAAAAAAGCCTCAAGCTGTCACTCTACACCCACTAAGACAAGATTGGAGAGAGGATTGGACAATGGTGCTGCTTAAGTTAACTTATAAAACTGCATTTCAAAAGTACAGTCACTTTTCTTGTATTTTGTGTGGTGATAGAGTGAGTATACTTTGAATAAAGGGTATGATAGTGTTTTTGTCAACAGTCTGTTATATATGCCTTTGATAGTGCTTGTGAATATTAAAAGCTGATTTCTCTATGTTGAATCAATTTTGCTTCTTGGAGATTATTATTATATATAAGAATTTATTGATATTTAATCTTGTTAATGTTGATCAATATCTATTCTCATACAAGGATCGGTCAAGCCATGCCTATCCAAAGATAAGGTCTGGGAAGGGTATGACATATGGTGACCAACGTTCAACATTTCTGCTAGTAAAATAGTGTGTATGCTTTGATTCTTATATATAACTATGTCCACATTGTGATCAGTAGTTATGACCAAGATTGGTAGGGTAGGTAAATATGTGTTTCAGGATCAGATCTTATCTTATGAATTGGTAATGGATTTCTTTCAAATGTTATATTTGAATAATAAATTTTTCTTTATGAGAGAATTTTTCTGTAGCATAAAGTTTTTCTTTGTATTAAGATCCTTATAGTTAATTGAATATCATTAGATTCTTATAAAATATAGCAGCTACCAGTTATTTCTAGTATTTGTTACCAAAAAAATGAGAGTTTCTTTGCAATAGAAGATATCTTGATGCTTCAAAGCGTAAGCAGCTACAACGGTTTGTTGCACATAGTGAAAAACAATGGTTGAAAATATTGACTCAACTGATATTATATTAGGTTTGCTCCCGTGAGATTACAGTTGAAGTTCCCTCCAAACCACCAGTTGGCCCAAACAACCACGATTACCGATAGAGGTGTTCGCCGTTCAGTGTGATTTAAAGCCAAAACCGCAAAACAAACCACAAACCAAATTGTACATGCCTTAAACAGCAATATATTGCACCCCATTGGCTTGTGCCAAAATACGAAACGAGTGGAAAGTTGCAATAAACTTTCATATCCCATAGAATATAAAGTAAAAAATTGACACTACACAATTAAGTCCAAAAGCATAACCCAAACAAACTTTGGGTCTTCCAACCACAAAAAATGGAAGCAGTGTCTAATGCTTCATGAAGCTCCCATGATTCATTTATACACAAACCATTGGGTCTTGGGGTGCATCAGATGAAACCCCAGAAGCCATAATCCTATGCAGTCAACTTCAAATGGGTAGCAGGTACATCATCAACATAAAGATATCCTAAACATCAAGAGATGGGTAGAAGATACAGTTATGAGGAACATGATCAATAGTAACATTTGCTAAACATTAAAGATTTATGCCTCCAGAACAGAACACCAAAACCATCAAGTCTCTACCTTTTGAATGGTATTGAGCCATCCAAGAAGCATGCCTATTATGTAAAAAAGCAAAGTCATGAGTTCTATTACAAGAAGCCCTTGTGAAGTCGAAAAAAGCCATCTTCGATGACTGAAGGCCAACACTAAAAATGTTATTGGTTGAAGAAAAGGCCATCCATGAAATATATATATATATATGTACCATGGTTATGGGTGAGTGAGACTCTATAAAGCACCTGTTGGGTCAAAGACCATCAGCAAGTCATTAAACATCCCATCTTAGTAACCAAGAGGGTCGGCTCAATTGGCCCGTTCAAATCTCTTTAGGGTCACTGGGATTTTCATCTCGAGGGCCTCATTGGATTAATGGAGGTGCGTGCAACCTGACACGTAAATCCACCGTTACAAAAGAAACAAAAACATCTGATTTTGGTGGCTGAATTGCAATGCACATCTGATCAGTGTTTTGCTACTGAAGGTAGATTTGATTGATCAACCATCTTAGTGAGCCCAAAAACAAACTTTAAACTACTTGAAGTGCCAACAAACCCAAACAAAAAACACAAAACTTATCATATAATCTGCTTTCCAAGCTAATTGGAGACCGATGAACAGCTAAAATTCAAGTCTGGATCATGACTGATGTTACTACAATTTGGTCGTGAATGTTGAAAGAAACTGCACAGAAAGCATACAACTGATGAAGAGGTCAGATACTCTCTTGGCCGAAAACAAAATTCAACTACAAATTGTGCACAACCGATTGTAAACCCAAACTTCCAAAACCCCCTAATTTTTCTCATTGATCCTAAACAGATCAGATACAGAACTACAGATAATAGTCAGATATATCACAAAAAATCTAGTAAAAACACTCGACCCCAAAAGAATTATATATGGTTCACCACTGTAGTAGAACAGATCTATAATGACAAAGCATCAAATAACAAAAAATTAACAACATCATTCACCGATGATCTTATCTGAGGATGATCTCTCTATGCGTCGTTTGAGAGTCAATGGCTGAAGAACAGAGTCTCTGTACTTAGAAGGCATTGACATATTAACCCTCCTCTGCCTTTTCGCTTTTGGCTTTGATTTCGATTTCGATTTCGATTTCGATCCCGATCTGGGAAGTAAAGCGGTAGTGGTGAGGATAAGATTGTTGAATTGGATGGGTCTCTTTCTTCTGGTGACGATTCTTCTTTGTATGTAAGGAACACCAACGACCGATCCTGCTGTAACTTGGTGGATTGCCTTTACGAGTAGATTGAGACCAAAACAACGAGAAGGAGAAGAAGATGGCAATGATGATTGGAAAGAAGAAGATGAGTCTGTTGACGATGCAACGAGTGAATGAAGAGTAATGGATGAATGAGATGGTGAATTTGGAGTTGAAGAAGAAGATGATGATGATGATGATGATGATGTTTGCATTTTTTATGGGGTTTTTGTTTCTGAATCTTGGGAGGAATTTGGGAAGAAGATGAAAACCTCCGGTGGATCGAGAGAGACTGGTTTTGGTCTTTGGATGTTCGACGATGCACTATGTATATATGCACTATGTATATATTCCCCCTACCCCATTCACCCTTTTCTTTTAATACAAATAAAAGAATTGGTTGAGATGTAGAGCTTCTTCTATTCTAAAATATACTGAATTTTACAATAAAACACTGTGAATGTATAAAAAACATCTAATTTATATAGTAAAAAAATTGTATTTAACCACTAAGATGTTGTCCAATTGGTTTGAGCTTGGACTCCAAAGGTCAAAAGTATCTGGAGGTCCTAGGTTCGAATCAAAGGAGGAATAAAAATCCCCTCGTGACTACGGAGGTTCAAATGCGGTGACACCTGGCTACCCACGAAGCGGGTGGTCGTTCTGGGATTAGACGGCTCGTATAACGGGTTGGATATCCAAGTTAATAAAAAAAATTGTATTTTATTATAAAAGTTCAGTGTTATTCATATGGTCTCACATGATTTCAAATTAGGAAATGTAATACTAATCACTCTACCATTTTTTTTTTTTTTTGACATCAAGAGTGTGGATCATTTACAAATTGTTATATTGGTATAAATTTTGCAAATCAATCTCAACCGTTTATCTAGCCTTAGGAATATCTGGTTCAATGAATATTTATGTTATTTCATAATATAAAGCATTGATCATGGTGAATGAACTTTAATAATCTTTCATAAATATCCAGATCATAATAAATGAATCATCATCATTTCTATAAATATCCCAGTTAATTGGTTTGTATGGTTTATACTAGGGAAAATTGCACCAAAATATAACTAACTTTCACCTAATTCTTATTTTGGGGAACCAACTTTCAAAATCGTCATTTTGGGAAACCAACTTGCACCTGATTCCTATTTTAGGGTACTAACTTTCAAAATCGTCATTTTGGGGAACCAACTCGCATCTGATTCCTATTTCGGGGAACCAACTTGCAAAATAATTATACTAATGGTTGTGTTTGTAAATAAAACCATCACTTGATATCAACGTATATAAAAGTTGAATTCCGTAATTGTCTATGTTTAGTTTTATTGTTACCATTTGGTAACATTTTCAGTAAGTGTCTGTGTCTTCTCGATATTTAAATTGTTGTTTCATTACCACATGAACTCTTTCAATATGATCATCTGAAAAGATTTTTTTTTACCTTTATTCTTTTAGGTTTTCCTTTCGTGTGGACAATAAGTCGACGTTCCAACATGGATTAACGTGTTTGTGTATGAAAATGATGAAATATATTGACATGAAGCAATATTCTTAGTCCTGTTTGCCCAAAATTCAACTTGATCGACACATCTTTTGAGCGTCCTTATAGACTCTTCCACTTTTATTATAAACGTCACAGGTAATACCATTCAAGCACGCAAAAGAGTGAATTCTCCACTCTCCAATGAACATTTTTAACTATCATGGTACCCAACAAATTCTTTGTCTATTGTGGGTGTCCAGATGAACTTGCACACACCTTGACTAATTTTATAGGAATCTAGAGAACAATCAAGAAAATCTCCAGTGGCCTTAGAGGGACTCGAACCAGTGGGCATTTGGAGAGGAACCCCAAATACCCAAGTGTTATTACCAGTGAACCAACCTCCCGACAAACTTTGAAACACCATTATTCAATCGATCTCAACGACCCATAAGCGCTTGATGATTTGTGTGTCCTTGAGCTGTTTATAGAAAAGAAAGAAACAATCTCCGTTTCAATGTTAAGGATCAAGCAACCCCTTAAAAATTCATCATTCATGGTAATATAAAGCTTTATTATAAAACTGACCATCAATAGATGGCAGTAGCAATGAATACATCAACTCAGTAATAATGCTCAATAGTCATATTGTCTTTTTTTTGACATTATCGAATTATATCTCTATAAGATTCTCAACCAGTAGCAGCCATTCGTCGACATTTTTCTCATCCTTTCTTCTGCAAACAACCCCTCTCCTTACCTAGAGACCCCTCGTTCGACGATGGCAATACCACCAAATGCTCGTCAACCCCCCTCCTCCGTTAAAGATTATTTGAATTTTTTTAGTACTTCTGACTACCAGAATATATATATTTATATGTTTTGACTTTGAAATAAATTTAATTTAGAGATATTTGTCTTTTTTATGTCTAAATAGGACAAATCTTGAAGTTGAGTTTCCCTGTTTGAGTCTTTTGTAAACTTTGTTGACCTCTGTTTAAGTATCATCTCAAAAAATAAATTGTAAGTTCATGTAACCTTAATGTAGAGATGGTCA